CACACACACACACACATGTATATACACATACACACAAACACACACACAAACTAGCACATACACACAGGCACAAACACAGACACGCACATCCATGCACACACATGTACATACACATATACACACACACACAAATTGGCACATACACACAGGCACAAACACAGACACACACATTCATGCACACACATGTACATACACATATACACAAACACACAAACACAAATTGGCACATACACACAAAAACAAACACAGACAACTCAGAAACACAAAGTCTTACAACAGACACAAACACATGCAAGACACACACAGACACACACATTTATGCACACACACATGTACACACACACACAGACACACACACACACACAGACACACACACACACACTCTCTCTCTCTCTCTCTCTCTCTCTCCCTCTTTCTCTGTCTGCCCCTTTTTTAAAAAAGTAATTGTGCTAAATTTAATGCTTCTGAATCTTGCACCCAGGAAAATTGCCGCCAGCAGTGATTGGTATTTGATACAGAAATTGACGTAGACTGAAACAACAAAACGTTTTTTCAAGGTAGGTCTCAGTATTGTAATGTTTACCCTGGAAGTCAAACTCGTTTTTCGTGCCGCAAGAGCCTTTCGCCCGCTGGTGTAAATTACCGCTACGGGGGAGTCTAGCCCGGGGGGAGTTTGGCTGGCTCTACAAACGTTGTAGGGCCGAAACCTCCCCACGGGCTCAATTCCACCGCAGCGGTAATTCAGGTCTGCGGGCGAAGGGCTTCTGGCTGCCGAAGGAAACGGTTTAGCGGCCCGTAAACTTGGCTGGCACCCAGGGTTTGTAATGTTAAGCACATTAGAATTGTGAATTCCACATCAGGAAAAACAACTTTAATATGAACTAAGTAAACTTGATCTGTTTCTACAGCTTTCGATCAGAAATATGCACCGCGATGCTTATAAAAATGATCAACGTTTGAAATTGTAAAAAAAATCACGCAAAATTCACTTTTGTAAAAAACAAGGCTGCTGTGCGGTGAAAGGGCTTTTCCAGAAACAACCTTAGGAGGGGCAGGAGCAATGTAACACATGTATAGTAATTGAGCCAATGCTATTATTATCATTATTATGAATATTATGCATCAAACATAAACAGACCTACAGAAATCAATCATTCTTGCCTCTCAGTGCAAAATTTACCAAAAAGTGCCGGTCTGTTTGTCACTTGCTTTTGGCTATACAAGTCCTCATATCCTTTTGTTTACTTTCTAAATGAGTTGACATAAATTCGCAGAGACCCAGTATATTAGTATTACTAAATCAGGCTTCAAGAATGTGTCTCAACAACTGATAATGTAAAAGGTGATTTCCACAGATGTTTCCAACAAGTTCTATCGGCAAACTGGTCAACTATTGTTTTGAATTATATATCTAGTATAAAGCGCATGCCATAATTGCATTTTTGTTGGAATTACAGAAAATTATGTACCTTCTATTGTTCCACCTTCCACCGCACGGTCGCATTATACGTGTGAGTAGGAGAGTCTTCGGTGGAAGGTGGAACAATAGAAGGTACATAATTTTCTGTAATTCCAACAAAAATGCAATTATGGCATGCGCTTTATACTAGAGGAATAATTCAAAACAATAGTTGACCAGTTTGTCGATAGAACTTGTTGGAAATAGTACATCGAGGAAGGGGGAGGGGGTGGTCTTACGTCATATCCGTGATCTTTGCTGGGCATTATGGGAAGTGTGAAATTGGTGCATGGCGCGTTTCTGTCTGACGTGTCAGCTGCGCCCCCTGGCGGCGAGGCGTGAAAAATGAAACCTAAAATTTGTGAAACCGTTCCACAGACGCACTGCCATGACTGCAGAAGACTTGCTTGTGAAATGTAAACCGATGGTAGGAAGTCAATAAAATATTGCACCAAAGTATTTGGCCACGTGTTTTTAATTATGTGTTGTCAATGCTTTCACAAATCGCATTTAATAAAGATGAATAAAATATGTGTATATGTGCATTATAATGATGATGATGAATGAGAAACAACGTTACCAAATAATTTAGAATATGGCTCTTATTTGCGAAATCAATGATTAAAATTGTATAATTCGTCAACCACCAGGGTTAACATCGTTTGGCGAAGGTATGAAATCGTGGAACTCTTGTTTGTCTATAGGTTTATGAATGAATGACGGCCTTTATTGCACATTTTTGCCACACTGGTCTAAGTACAGGTCAAAACAAGATATGATGAAAAGATATATACAAACTAAACTTAGCTATCATTACATAAATTCAACTTCTCGCTTTTCAGTTATAGTGGAGATAAAGGAACAGATATGTTTTTATAATTGGTTTATTGTTTCAATTGAAAGCAATACACTAAAATACATTGCAGCGACTTGTACATAGTACAAGTCGCTGAATTATGCATATTAGGCAGTTACAAGAAATGAATAAAACACTTAATAAAATCTATAGAAACTACTATACATTGCAAAATAATTAAAATAATTAGACAATAATCATAATAAAAATTACCACACACTGATAGGTTACCTGACGTTGTTCAGAAGTGCAGTGAAGTATGGAATGGGGCTGTTTTTATATCTGTTGGATCTTGCCATCGGAATACAGAGCTGATTATTGCCCTTTAAATTTCTGTTGTGAACATCTTTCCGTAGCGGGGGCAACCAGTTTCTAAACGTCGGCGAATTCAACAGAGATTTGGCAAATTTAAGGCTTAGCGATTCTCGTCTAGTTTTAAAGGTACAGAGGCCAAAATGGGAAAGGGCTTCATCATAACATGAGTATTGAGGGCCTAAAATTATTCTTAGCGCACGTTTCTGTATTCGTTCTAATTTATCGGATTGTTGATGTGTTATATTGGCATTCCATACAGGGGCAGCATATTCAACGGTTGGTCGTATATATAATAAATAGGTTTCGCAAAGGTCGTTGATGGGAAGGCCGAAACGTTTTAATTTCTTTAACCAGTAGAGTCGTGAGCTTGCTTTTGTCGTAATGACCTCTACGTGCTTATCCCATTTCATATCCGCTGTCAACCATAGTCCAAGTATGCATGCCACTTCTGTATGCTCAAGGACTTTACCATTAAGAAGGATATCGGGGGGAGGAGGAGGGTCGTTATTAAAAGTGATGTTCATTATTTTGCACTTATCTTCATTTAGTGACATATGATTTTCTGACGACCACATTTCAAGTTGATTAACCGATGTTTGCATCGAGGTTGGTACACTTAATAATCTGCTTTCCTTTAAAGTCAGATCATCTACGTATTTCCATCTATCCACAAAAGATTCCATTGCCTCATTTACAAATACTAAAAAGAGAACAGGCCCTAATTTGGTTCCCTGAGGAACTCCTGATGAAATTCTCTCCCAACCAGAAGTTGCACCTCTGTACCGAACACACTGTGTACGTTCACTGAGAAAATCACTTATCCATGGTACAAGTACAAAAGTACGTACACCACAAGTTAACAGTTTATGGATTAATACTGTATGATCAATTTCATCAAATGCCTTGCTAAAATCTGTTAACAGGACAGTTAGTTTTAAGGGTGTCGGCGCAAAGAAGTATTGAGTCAACCAAACTAGTGAGGTAGTGAACAGATGATCGCCCCCTTCTACTGCCATATTGGTTAGGGTCAAGAACGTCGCTTATGTCAAGAAGGATCCATTTTGTGATAAAAGATTCAAACGTTTTTATCAGGATAGAAGTGAGTGATATGGGACGCAGATTTTCGACTGTTGCAGGGCTTTTCTTTGGAATGGGTGAAAAGTTTTTCGATGAAAGGTTTGTCAAGTCGCATTAGGAATAAGAATTTTTCTACAGTGCTCAACTGTATGAAGTAAGAAAATAGGTTTTGTACAAGCCTATACAGATCGTTTCTCTCTTTACTATACAATTTACATCCTGTAACAAATTGACATTCGTCTTCTATTCTATTCAAATTACAACATGTATATAACCTTTGTTCCAGAGGGGTGCGGGTATGTCTTCCAGTTTCAATTTGTAGTTTGTGGCAGCTTATCCTTAGTCTTGTGACGGCATTTCTGATCTTCACATTTTCATTACTTAGGCATTTTTCTTCATTATATGTAGTTTTAAACAATCTATACGATCTTAACTTATTTTTGGTAGCTCGACCTTTGTTGTCATTGTGCATTTCTTTTAGGAACGTTTGAAACTATATGTCTTTTAACCGTTGGCCAATAGAACTGACAATTTGGAACGTATTTGTAGTATGTGAAGTTTGAAAATGCCATAGGGGAGCAAACCCGCACTCTTCTAAGGACTTACGCACTCCTGTCGCCCAACATTTAACTCCAGATAAGATTTCTCTAATTCCAATTGGCAGTAGAATGCGTCTGCTTGAAAGCAGTCTGTTAATCCTCTTGTAAAGTCCTCATCAGAAACCCACAGGAGATCCTCCCTTCCGCGAGTCGCTGGCCGCGCTGATGACGTCACCTTTCCTGGCCACGCTACTGACATTGGCGGAGGATATGTGAAGAGGTACAAATTGTCATGGTGGGTTTGTGATTTTATTAGAGCAAGGACAAGGAAATTATACCTTGATTAGAGGGATTGTAGTAACTTTCCAACAGCCTGTTCCTTCCAGCATCGTGATTTAATAGGATTATGTATTTACCACCACCATCCCATCCAAGAGGACTCATAGCCTCTTCCAGGCTTCGGGAGACGGCTGGAAAGAGTAGAAGTTGGCCAAATAGAGACTCAAGTGGCTATGTCTCCCGATGCTAATCTCCAAGCAGATCTTTCGGTTAGGTGGCAAAAGACCGTATCCATTGGCCATCCTGTATCCATTGTCCATCCTGTATCCATTGTCCATCCTGTATCCATTGTCCATCCTGTATCCATTGGCCATCCTGTATCCATTGGCCATCCTGTATCCATTGGCCATCCTGTATCCATTTCCTCTGGCCAATGGATACTGTCTTGCCACCGAAAGATCTGCTTGGAGATTATCCCGATGTCTGGTACATGTATCTCTTGTGCTATTCAGTTTTACTAAAGTAAATTCGGAGGTGCCGACATTGACCACGCCCAGGAAGACCAGGAGAGCACTGAAACGGCGCTGTTAGTCGCTTCCATCAAAGGGCATGCCGACATCGTGAAACTTCTGCTCCGCAAGGGGGCGTCCGTAACGAAGAGAAACCAGGGTATATCTTGTGCCCCCCTTCATGGAGCGGCGGGCAACGGTAAGTCGTCCATTAAAAAAGGCCAGTTGGCTAAAAGCTTACTAGTCGAAGCTGAAACTAAAATACAAGTAGAGCTAACAACTGAAATGTGAACTGTAATATGAACTGTAATGAAGTTTTTCGGCCAGGCCAGCAAGAGACCACAGAGGATCTTACAACATGCAAAAACTAGATTTACGACGGTGTATCAGGTGGTGCCTAGTAGATTTTTTTACTTTATTTGTGTTTATATTGCAAAGTACATTGTAGTATTACCTACCTATTTCTTACTTATTGTAATGTTATTGTAGCGTTGGTTTATTGATGCATATTTCTCGCATTGCAACTCCAACCCAGGGCATACGGAAGTAGTGGACTTGCTGGTATATCACGGTGCAACGTTAGACATCCGGGACGCGTTCCTGAGGACGCCGCTCATGGCTGCCATTATTTTCAAAGAAGTCGCCACTGTCCGGCAACTGATCGAGTTCGGAGCGAGAGTTGACCTGGCCGACGCGCAGGGCAATACGACCCAGCAGTAAGTGTCCCGTCCTTTAACAATGGATGACTAATATGAAAGTATTGTTTTGGTGGCTGAGCTGTGGTCAAAGGAAATGTGGGCAAAACTTGGAAGTAGGTTGACAGCACGTGGGTGGCGTGAAATACTAGTAGCAGATTAAGAATGACAGGAGGTCCAAAGATCAGGCACAGGGTGAAGTTGAAGGTCATAAAATCTCTGGGAATCTTCTGTTTCTTGCTTCCTAAATGAGTCACATTTGCCTCTAGGTACTGCGAGTATAACTTCTTTGGAGAAGACTGCGACTGCGCACTTAAAGAGATGATGGAGCTGGTACAAGAGGCGACGAAGAACAAGCTGCTGAGATGCTGCAACCCTACGTGTGGCAAACCGGGCTACAGGTATGTATGAATGTGGGTGCGTGTGTATGTGTGTGTGTGTGCTTGTGTGTGTGTGTCCATGTACATTTTGTATGCATGTGTGTTTGTATGTGTGTGTGTGTGTGTGTGTGTGTGTGTGTGTGTGTCTGTGTGTCTGTGTCCATGTACATGTATGTGTGTGTGTGTGTGTGTGTGTGTGTGTGTGTGTCTGTGTCCATGTATGCATGTGTGTTTGTATATGTGTGTGTATGTGTGTGTGTGTGTGTGTGTATGTGTATATGTCCATGTATGTATGAGTGTTTGTATGTGTATGTGTTTGTGTGTGATACGCGTCTGTGTGTGTGCATGTTAATGCGTGTGTATGTGGCTGTGTGTATGTGTACTTGTTACCTCTTGTGTTTGATTCTTGTGTCTCCGTCTTTGTACAGCCCACAATGGTCAGTTTTCTGAATTCTACCGTAGTCCTAAACAGCTTGCACACGTGCACTGTCAGTGACGGACTTAGGACCTTCCTAAAAATGATTGAGAAAGTCTAGTGTATCAAAAAATAGCTTAGAACATGTACAGCAAATGCAACTTTGACTTAACAACAATTTGCATCTTTGGTATGAAATACTTAATCAGAACTTTAGGGTACGGAAGTATTGTTTTGGGTGGCCGAATCCTGGGGTTGTCTCTCTGTCCTAATAGCTGGTGTCTGTTACTAGTATGTACGTTGCAAGGCTATAGAACCTCATACATGTGCAGTACTACAGTTTCTACCAGCTCTAGTTGATGTGCATATGTAAGGTTGCGCCTCTTTCTGAAGCCGACAACAATATGATAGCAACGGTTATCTTGGATCAATTAGTTTAAAAAAAGCTTATAAGGCTTTACACGTTTATCCTGGATCGAAAAAGTCTGTTATTTTAGCTAAAGTACAGAATGTACATACCGCTTTATACGTGCCAGTGAGAGAAAAAGAACAGATGTCAGGGTAGACAGAGGTGAAACAAGTTTTAGATGCGTCAATTACTAGATTTTTTTTTAATATCTTTATTCACAAAATCACATAAACAATACATCATATCGCACTTGATACAGTACAAACTTAAAATGCGAATTTACAACAATACCTAGTTATACAATTTACGACTATAGATGTACAGCCATTGGTGGTCATAAGACTTATGTAGAGTTTATGTAAATGTTTTGTTTCATTGAATATGGAAATAAGGTGACAATTGATATAATTTAGTTGAATTTATGGTGTTCTAAACTCAACTTACAATATTTTTCGTGTCAAACTCCTACCCTTTGGCAATATTTCATTTAAACATCCTCATTTAAACTTCCTCATTAATTATGCAATTGCCTCTATATTAACATGATATATGCATAGTGTTGTTAACATTTAAGTAACCTACACATGTCACAAGGTACAGAATTGAAATCATTCACCATTAAGATATCATAAATTTCGCAATAATTATGCAAATTAGGCCATCATTTGCATAATTTGTACCTGTTGACGTTCTATCTGCCATAGATTATATATATTACATGTATGAAAGTACTATAGTGTAAAACACTGTAATTATAGAATTTCCTCATTAATTATGCAAATTAGGTTCTCATTTGCATAATTTGCATTTGATCGTGTACATCTCTCTCTCTCTTTCCGCTACCTACCTCCCAAAAATTATGAAAATATGTTGTTCCTATCTGGACTTATTGGCTTTTAAAGATTTCGCCCGAAAGTCCCCTGCAGTTCCAGAACAAGCTGGTGGGGGTTCAAACACACACCACTTATTTCTGACAGGAAAAGCTATCCGTAACCAAAAATTCAAGACCATAGCATGTTCAGGACAAAAGATACAAAAACCGGAAGTTCTGCTGCAGTACCAAGGTCATCCACCAGGAGGCCCATATTTGACCTAGACCTTCGTCTTCCTAAGATTTACCAATATACCAAATATCATCACAATCCATCAAGGCTTTCTGAAGTTATGATGACCACAAAGTTGCGGAAACACACACAGACAGACAAACACACACACAGACAGACACGCCAAAAACAATACCTCCATTTTTCATGGAAGTAACTACATTTTTACAGCACAGAGATGGGCGAATCAAAATGAAAGGTCGATAGCTAAGCTTCTCTCTGGTCTGTGTTTTACGGCATGAAACGTGGGGTTGATATTGCTAATGGCGGTGCAGAAAAGGTAATATTTTGCTTGTAAGATACAACTGTTCAGTGTTTTATTGTTTTGGAGGGGGGAAAAGTGACCATAAATAATTTCATTGTTGGAAAGAGCCGCGGGAAGCGTATGATCTTTGTTCCACCAATCTTTCCGGAAATTCCTGGCGGTGTGGCATTCAGCAAATAGATGTACTATTGTTTGTTTTTCTTCACAATATGGGCATTGGTCGGAGTCTTTTATTTTTACCTTACCTACTAGTAGTCAATTACTAGATACGGTCTTTGGTCAATTTACTAGACGGTCCTTTTTGTGCATCACCTGTAGTAATAATCTCTAGATAAGCAGCAAATCTTGCGTATTGAAAATGTTTTTTCCTGTTCTTATTTAAATGTAGTTTTGTATTTCCCGATTCGGCCATGTTCATCATCACAACAAAAGAACGGACGTCACCATTGATAAAGTGCTTTCACCATGGATGAAGTTGTTAATAGAAGAAGCAAATCTTGCGTATTTAAAGGATTTTCTTTTTTTTTTCAATTTTCTATATTGTTTAGCGTTTCGCGATTCGGTCATGGTACATGCTCATTCTCACGACAAAAGAACGGACGTCACTATATGCATCAAGTGCTGAAAAAGAAGCTTATACAAGGCTTTTCACGTTTCGTGGACCGAATAAGTCTGTTATTGTACAGTACAGAAGTACGGAATGTCCGCTATATGAAAGTGCGCGCGCGCGCGCGTGTGTGTGCGTGTGTGTGGGGGTCGCTATATTTGTTGTCAGCATAACGAGGGCCTGACTGGATTGTGTTGATAGTTGGTAATAAGGCAGGGTTTTTTTTGGGGGGGGGCAGTGGTCAAGATCAGTTGTGCCATATAGCTTTTTTATGTCTTAAGAAGTTGTGCGTGCATTAAATGGCTGGGTATGGGCAGCAAAGATAGGGAGGCCAGTAGCCGGGTTCCCCGGTAGCATTTTTGTGCGAGTGTATGAGACGATTAAAACAATCTGCGTTGGTAGAACTCATTGTGAAACAAGTTTGACACAAGAACTTGTACTCATACAAATTTTCGACTGTAAAACTCCAGTCTTTGTGAAGGAATGAGCAATTCACCGCTTCCATGACGTCACGCAGATAACACGTGACTCCGTGAGTGGTGGATTATAGGTTGCAGAAAGTCTGTGGCGCCCCCCGTCTCTGTTGAGGGATGGTTGTAATACCTGATGTAGATGGCCTCTTAAATCCCACGTCCAAAAAAGTCCGATTCTGTGTCCAAGATTCTTACTTTATCAAACAAGAATTCTGAGATTTCATACCTCCATGAAATATGTAGAGTTTATGTAAATGTTTTGTTTCATTGAATATGGAAATAAGGTGGCAATTGATATAATGTAGTTTAATTTATGGTGTTCTAAACTCAACTTACAATATTTTTTGCGTGTCAAACTCCTATCCTTTGGCAATATTTCACTTAAATATCCTCATTTAAACTTCCTCATTAACTGTGCAAATTGCCTCTATATTAACATAATATATGCATAGTGTTGTTAACATTTAAGTAACCTACATGTAACAAGGTACAGAATTGCCATCATTCACCATTAAGAAATCATATAATATTTTCGCAATAATTATACAAATTAGGTCATCATTTGCATAATTGATATCTGTTGACGTTCTATCTGCCATAGATTACATATATTACATGTATGAAATTACTATAATGTAATTATAGAATTTCTTCATTAATTATGCAAATTAGGTCCCCATTTGCATGATTTGCATTTAATCGTGAACATCTCTCTCTCTCTCTCAGCTACCTACCTACCAAAAATTATGAAAATATGTTGTTCCTATCTGGACTTATTGGCTTTTAAAGATTTCGCCCGAAAGTCCCCTGCAGTTCCAGAACAAGCTGGTAGGGGGGACCAAACCCACACTACTTATTTCTGACAGGAAAAGCTATCTGTAACCAAAAATTCAAGACCATAGCATGTTCAGGACAAAAGATACAAAAACCGGAAGTTCGGCTGCAGTACCAAGGTCATCCACCAGGAGGCCCATATTTGACCTTGACTTTTGTCTTCCTAAGACTTACCAACATACCAAATATCATCCCAATCCACCAAGGCGTTCTAAAGTTATGATGACCACAAAGTTGCGGAAACACACACAAACACACACACAGACACACACACACATGAGACTGAATGTCCAGACGATTCAATGTGTATATGTTGTGAGACTTCCGAAGTAGTCGAGCTAGTTCTAAGAACCTACTAGTAGCCCTGAAGGATCGTTCAGTCTCTCCAATATATGTTTCCTTACTGGGCCCTTGGAGTTCTGTCCTTGACACTGTATCTTGTAATGGTACATGACCTCACATTTACTTTCTTTTAGTGTTTTGTTCTTGGGTATATTCCGGAGGGTTCTAGTTGGTCTACAACAGGTCTTGATATCGTGCGTGGTAAGCATTCTTCTGAGCTGTGTTATTTGCGTAACGTCACGTACAGAGCCATGTAAGACTAGAGGAGAAACCGTTCACAGAAATGGTCCACGTGTACTCAGGATTTCTACTCTAGTGCTTCTCTTTGCGAGCGATCAGGTATATTGCAAGGATATACATGTATATTGCAGTTTCTACATCAAGTTGATGTGCATATGTAAGATAGCGCCTCTTTCTGAAGCCGACAAGGATATGATAGCAACGGTTATTTTGAATATTTCAGAATATTTTATGATTTGAGTAAGAATAAAGTTGGAGATCTTAAAACTGTCTGAGTCCACTGTTATCATTATGGGTACAGTTACTGTAAGGCCACAGCAAGTAATTTTTATGGATGACATTAGTGCGCGTATTGATTTTTGTCTGATTTTGGAAGAAAACAATTTTGTTGCCCTTTGCCAGTGGTCAACATGCCGAGAATGGGCAAAATGGCATGTCTTGCCATGCCGGAACGTGTAGGGCAGATAAATATGAAGAGAGGAGACAAGACAAGGCTCTGATTTATTGTTTTGACTTTTAAATTTCATGCAGTGATGTATTTCATTCCTTTTATATGTTCCCACTGAATCAAAACCATCTGTAAAATGATTGATTAAAAACTTTCCTTTTTCAAAGTTGTTTTAGTGACAAATGGATGTTGTGATACGGCGATGAAGGTTAGACATCCAGGTAATACGATACGTTTCATCTAGTGGATACTAGCTGACTACATGTATGTCGGAAAATTTCCGTACACGTGTAACGTATGTTTCTGTACTACGGCTAAAGAATCACATATCCTTTGGTTCACGAACCAGCAAAATAAAAGCCAGACTATATACAGCAGCACATTTCTGACAACCCAGACTCATACATGACGAAGGTCATCGACCT